GCAAAAATGCAGATACTGATTAGTGAGTGACAACAGGTGAGAATTTGACTGATGAGCACCAGGTGTGTTGAGTTAGAACTCGGCAACAATTTGAACGAGAACTGAAGTAAAGAAAACTAAAAATTCCAATCTGGACAGGTACCAAACACCTATGAAAATAATAAACAGAGATATTAAAAACATATTGACAAACAAGAAACAATACCAAAACAATCAAACAAAATCTCCGACAGGAAAAGAAGCAGACAACACATTACCAAAATCTCCAAGAAACCCCAAAATCATGACATCAACTGAATTGTTTTAATATTTTAATMATCACATTAAACTGCAAAACTTCAAATTGTTTTTAAATAGCTTACATAACAACATTAAGCTTGTTTCTTTAATTAGAACCTTTGTTAAGAACTAAAAAAATATTAGGAGCTAAAAACAAACTTTAAATGCAAATTTACTCTTACTGAAAAATCTCAAATAAAACCTTCACTGCAAAATAAAACAAACAAACAAACAAACAGACTTTTTGACCAAGATTTTGTGTGGATTTTTTCTGAGATCTGCAGGTATTTAGGACGGACCATCCAGTGGAAACATTGATTATGTTCAGAGAAAGTGTTTCAGATTATTCTTGAATGAAACAGAAGCAGTTGCCTCATGGCTAAAATCAAACAGGACCGTTTATAATGTTAGCATGTTTGCACCACAGTTCAGAAATCACTGCATGGATTTTAATTAAAACGTTCATAAAGTAATTACTGAGTTTACATCTGTTACAGATGGCTGTCACAGCCAAATGATTTTACTTAAATTGAGTTCAAAATATTTTGTTCTGAAGTACAGATGTAGGTTAAATTTTATGGGTAGTTAGGGGAAAAATGTTAAAATACTTAGTTTTAGAAATGTATTTTATTATTTAAAATCAACCTTTGGACTTGAGACTCCTGAGGATTAAATACAGCCGTTGCACAACAACAAAACAGATAAAAGCACATGATCAATAGAGCCTAATTACAGTCAAAGATTATAATTACGCCATTGCAAACACAAGAATCTGAAGTGAAATTAGCTGAATGCTGAATGTTTAATTTATAGAAAGCCAGATGAAAGCAACACAAGTTTTTTTATTTAATTGTATAGGTAAAGTGTGGACATCTAGTCTCTGTTCTGTAATTAGGAGCTGCCAAAAGGACAGTTATAGCTCGTCTCAGAGGTGCTGCCATCATATTTTGACAGGAACCATTCTTCTTATATTTCCTTTAACAGCAGGCCCACAGAGGTAAACAAAGCCAGAAACGAACACAGAAGAAGTTGGCAGCTCCTGTCTTTCAACCTGCTGTCCTTACTGTCTTCATGGGGCTATTTTATAGACATCTACACCTTTCCTTCAACACCATGCCTCCACACCAGGGAATTCAAACCAACGATTGAATTCACTGAGGTCAAACCTTCTGAAGTCTTGAGACTAAAAACAACAATTTTCCTCTCGTCTCATCTTTCTCTGTGGTTTTGTCCTAAAATGTGAACACACTTGCAGTGCAGCCTACTTTTACCTAAACAATAAAATCAGGAACTTATTACACTTATCTACCTACAGTCTGCACTGAATCATTTTCAATATCTCATCATCTACCAATAATTGTTCCTCTTACATGAATTAAACAACTGTTTCATGAAGCTGCTTGGTAACAAACATAAATGGACAAGGGTGAACAAAAGCAATTATGTTCAATCTAAAAACCACGTCCTGTTTTTGTGCAGATAATCAGCAGGCACAGGTGCACAAGAACAAGTGTGTCCTCAAACCACCTCAGCTGCAGATTCAAGCCGAACTGTCTGTCTAAAGGTCTTGAAACAACAAATTAGTTTTTGGTTTTAAAATAAAATGTGAGTGGATTAAAAATGTGTGCCTTGGTGATAGTTAACACCAAAAAAAAAAAAAAAGCAAATAAACTAATAAACTGACAAATATTTGTAAAAATGGAAAACATAACCGGATAAAAACACGAAAACATTTGGCTCTATTTTCCTTACAGAACTTTGGAATGTCCCTTTAAACTTGACATATCGACTACTAATATGGTATGATAAGGTTGTTCCATGCTATTTTGATTATTAAATAAATTAAAAATACAATAAGGTGTGTGGTCACATTTATTCTACATTAAAACCATATAAAAAGACAATTGCTTTCAAATTTGAATTAACTGTATTTTGAAATAAGTCTTTTTATGATTGTTTTTGCAGATTCGTGCATTAATATCCATTTCTTAATTTATTCAGCAGGTTTGATGATGTAGATACAGCTTTCTGCCAGCAGGGGGTGCTGCAGCTCCCGATCGACCCAGTTTTCAGCATCTTTTAAGTAGCTTTTCTTTTTTATTTTGCACAGGAGCAAACGACCAAAAGATTTAAGAGGATCTTGGTTATATGGGGTGAGTTTTGAATATATTCTTTAGTCTTAATCTGCATTTAAAGCTTCAAAGTTGCTTCACTCCATCTGCTCTGACATCAGGATTATATGTAAAAAAAAATCATGATGCAAGTTTAAATCTGAGGAGACACTTAGATTTTTTAAACTAATGTGTAATCTCCTCTCTACTCTCTCTCTCTCTCTCTCTCTCTCTCTCTCTCTCTCTCTCTCTCTCTCTCTCTCTCTCTTTCAGCAGGTAATCTCTTCTGAAGGGGGGCTCGCAGCTGCAGCACAGACTCAGTCCTCCTCCTCCTCCTCTGTGGACCCCCAGTCTGAGTCCTCTTCTTTGGACTGACCCAAAATGAATGAAAGAACAACTATAACATTCATCCGCTGCTCTATGATTCCTCTCATCTGCTTTGTTGGTCTTCTCATTGTCAGCCATGGCAGCTCAAAGTGGGCATTGTGAAGGGCGACCCTCAGCATCAAGGTGAGGATTTATTTCTGATACTTCAGTGCATGTGTGTGGTTTTAACAGGATAGATGGGAGAGAAAAATCGCAACATTCAATCTTAAAATACTCAAAAAAGCAATATTATTGTGCAATTTTTTTTAAATTACTCTAATTAGTGAATTAAAATGACTGATTATTGAATTAGTCAATAAAAATGACTGATTGTTGACGCAAGTAGATATATTTTCATAAATTTGAGGATAAATTTTAAGCTCATATCACATAAAAAATAAAAGAAATGTATTAGACTTTATTTTTTTTATCTAACAACCTTGAATTTGCTTGAAGTGGGAGCAGATAATTTCAGAAGAATCCCATTAACAAATGTCATTGCTGTATTTGTAATGGCAATTATCCTGTAATGGCAATTATCCTGAACCGGCACCGGTTGATGAGAATGATTTGAACCCCATTATTGTGGCAGTAAAAGCTACATTCTCCTCCCCCACAGGGAAATCTGCCACTTCAGTGACTGATTTTCTGCTAACGGTTTATTCTTCACTCTGCAAGATCGATAACGTCTTTGACATGAAGAGCGTGCAAAGTTCTGATGGGGGAAAAAACACGTCAAGCCTCTTATTTTTTGAAAATAATTCCTAATTTTCACTGGTTTTCAGAATAAAAACTATTTTATTTTTTGTCATTGAACTTTTCTGATCTTAGATTTTTAGATTTGAGGGATGCTAAATGTTTGTCCATCCCATCTAAATAATCAAAATCAAGAATAGTTTGTAAAGGAGTAAAAATGTAAATGGACAATAATCAAAAACAAAGTAATTTGTATGGAGTAAGAAAAAAATGTTGCTTTGATGTTTGACCCTTATAAAAATCACTTCACTTCAGTTTATCACGTTTCTTCCCTGTCCTTTTTGAAGCACAGATCCTCAGAGTCAAACAAAGCCCTGCACCAGCTCTGGACGTGTTGACATCTCACATCATTCCTCCAGCTCTTCTTGGCACTATGGAACTTTTGTTTCAGAGTTCCACTTCATCCACGCCCCTCTACAACGCCAGCGTGCCGTTAAACATCTCAGGGAATACGAGCTTTGATAAGTTTGCAGAAATCAATGTGGGTGAAATCCTTGGCCCAAAACGATCACCCTTCTTCTTCCCCGTGGCCACAGTTTATCTTCTAATCTTTCTCACGGGGCTGTCTGGAAATCTGCTCACCTGCGCGGTCATAGCGAAGCACAAGAAGATGCGAAACCCCACCAACTTTTACCTGGTGAGCCTGGCCGTGTCGGACCTGCTCGTGCTCCTGTTTGGGATGCCCTTGGAGATTTACGACCTGTGGGAGAACTACCCTTTCCCCTTCGGCGAGGGCGGCTGCTACTTCAAGACCTTCCTCTTCGAAACGGTCTGCTTCGCCTCCATCCTCAACGTCACGGCGCTGAGCGTGGAGAGGTACATCGCCGTTGTGCATCCGCTCAAAACGCGGTACCTGTCGACCAACCGGCACGCCAAGCGGGTCATCACTGTCGTGTGGGCGATGTCGATGATCTGCGCCGTCCCGAACACCTCGCTGCACGGCATCTTCTACTTACCAGACAGACTGGAGGAGTCAGCCATATGCGCTGTGATCAAACCCCTGTGGATCTATAACTTAGTGATGCAAATCACAACTGTGTGCTTCTACTTCGTGCCCATGACGATCATTAGCATGCTGTACTTAGTGATGGGCATCCATTTGGGCCGGGAAAGGCGGCACGTCAGGAAGAACCTGGGGAGGAACTGTTGCAGCGACACCAGAAGAAAGATCAGCGCCGAGAACGGGCGCAGGAGACAAATCACCAAGATGCTCTGTGAGTACATCATGAGTGCAATGCCATGATAACGGGTCCAAAACAACTCTTGCGTTGATTACGTTGAATGCAGACCCACATTTCAGAAATGCATGTCAGTAGATCTGAAAAGCCGCTTGAAAGTTTTCATTACTAAAACAGTTTCAAGTCTTTTCGATGCTGATGAGACTGAAATGCAGTGGTGGGCAGCACTAATTTAAAAACTAGTTCCACTAGCCCTAAAACACTAACTCAAATATTTAGGTCCCCTAATTCTAAAACACTAATGCACTGAAAATTTTAGCAAAAGCTAATTCTAAATCACTAACATAACCCAGTCAACCAATGAACACTCTTTAACAGACAACATGAGACACATATTGTCATGCTGCTCTCTTAAGACTTATTGACATTCCACAGCTTGTTCATATGTTGTCACCTGGGGGATAAGTGACACATTTGAACAAAATGTGTGACAGCTTTCACCCTCAGCTGTTATGATTCTTGTGTTTTGGTTGTTTTTGGTAGTATATTTTTCAGATTGTTTTTCATTGTTTGGTATTGTCTTATTTTCTCATTTCCTGTTTTCAGTTTCCTGTGCCATGTTTACCTCAGTCAGCTTCTTAGAGTTTTTCCAGCCTGCCACACTCACCTGTCCTCAGTTGTAATCACCCAGCTGTTTCCTGCTTCCACTCAGCCCTGTTTGTATTTAAGGATCTTCTCTTCATCACTTCAGCGTCTGACCATTGCTTACCCATGTTTGTTGTCACTCATGCTCATGTTCCAAGTTTTGATTTTTTTTTGTTTTGTTAGCTTGCCACCATGTTTTTTTTTGGTTACTATTAAAGTCTTTTTAATTACTTTAAGTTTGGTCTGCCTGCCTGCATTTTGGGTTCTCCTCACCATCAAGTCGTAACATCACATTAATGTTGACCAATAACATTTAAAGACCTCAGTTAGTTCTTCTAAATTTAGCAAGTGCTAATCCACTAATGAATTTTAAAATTGGCAAAAGCGCTAATCAGGAAATTAGTTCCCCTATTTGTGCTTTAAGGGAACTGTGCCCACCACTGCTGAAATGATAAACTCTCAAACTGCACTCTTTGATATTTGTAGTTCAGGATAATATTTTATAACATTTAATTTTAAAGTTTGCAATAAGTCCATTCAGTTCTGACATAATTTCTGCTGATTTGCTCATTTTGTTTACAAGCAGGCCACCTACTTCAGAGTGAGACCTGGAGTTCCTCACAAACACATTTTTTTGAGTTTTCACCAGAAAACTTGACAACTTTGCAGTTTCAAATACATTTTTTAAAAATAATCAAAATAACAGTTCATACCGAATTCTCGAAGTCGAACTAAAAACCCATTTTCTGAACATTCTTTCCCACCGAAAGTCACGAAGTTCGAATAACATCGCTAACGCAAGCAGAGAGCATCCCTGGGAGTTTGACAGCACATCTTTGTCTCCGTGCTTCTGTCAGAGCATTTCTCATAAGTGAAAGAGTTGGCTGGAAAAAAAAAGCCTTTGTCAAGTGTTTTCACAACCTGTCACTGTATTGATTATGCTGCCACAGAAATAAAACGGTCAACAAAATCTGATAAAATTCTGGATTAGGTTCTTTTATGTAGTTTTTTAAAGATGCATTTTCCCCATGTGTGTCACATCAGACCCTGACTGTTACTTATACTTTGTATAAAACTTGTGTGTAATTTTTATTTTTTAAATTCATTTAATTTTTTTAATCATTTGTATTGATTGTATTTTATTGTATTATTAACTAATTGTATGCAGCCGAGTCATTTTAATCTTGTTTTGTATAAACTTCCTTGTTTTTATCAAGTCCAGGGAGAACAGATAAAAATAGCCTTTGGCTAACTCTGGCACATTTACAGAAATGTCTTTTAATGAGCATTATCCCTTTTAATAAACAAATTAAATTAAGCAAACTTACAGAAAGTGTAAGACATAATTTAAGACAGTGGACTAAATGCAGAGTTGCGAAATTTCCAAGCAGCTACTGCAAAAAGTTTTCAAAAAATATTGTAAGAATGATAAATAAAATTTTTTATTTAAATCAAAACAGCAAGAAAAAAAACAACAAATCTTTTGTTATAATGTGATTATTGTCATCTTGCTCTTTCTGGTTTGATGTTCCAGCCATTGTGGTGGCCGTGTTCGGGGTCTGCTGGGCACCCTTCCACATCGAACGCCTCCTGTGGAGCTCAGTCAGCCAGTGGACGGACGTGATGCACAACGTCTACCAGTACGTCCACATCCTGTCAGGCATCTTCTTCTACCTCAGCTCCGCAGTCAACCCCGTCATCTACAGCCTGCTCTCCACCAGGTTCAGGGAGTGTTTCCGGGAACTTGTGTGCTCGCACGCGGAGGACAACAACTCTGTCAGAGACTCGCCACCCTTCCCCAAGATCTTACTGGACGCCTCCATCTCAAGTTCCAGATCTCATGCAGACATTAAAGATTCCAGTTCCTTTATTCCTCTGCTGTCTCCTCAGGTCACTTTGAGTATGGAAACAGCAGTAGTTCCGTGTTCAAGTAAAGAAACCACCTGCAAAACCTCTATGTTTTGAGACGTGTTTGAAATCGAGGAACTCTCAAAGAAGAACCAATTTAAAGTTACAGGTTGACATCCGGGGAAAATGTGTCGCATTTTTGCAAACAAACCTAGACATCAGTTCTGTGTCTATCAAGTTTCTTTCTCCCACGAGACTTTGAAAATAGCTTTGAAAACGCTTTCAAATTGTTGGAAAATACACTGGTTCTGTCTAAAGCGGAGATTGAAGTGGATGGAAAAAAAACAGTGCCAGTCCTCCCCTTGGGGATACGCTTTCAAATCCCAGTATGAGTTAGAATGCATCAAAACATCTCTCAGGTGTGGAAAGGTTAGATTGATAGAGTATTAGTGAGCTTTGTGAATAAAGCCGCCACCATGTTGCATTGCAGAAACCATGACCAAAAAAAAAGGTAAAATGTACAAACTATAACAATGTACACTTATTTTATCATATCCTTGATTTTTTGCCGGATCCAATGATTTGTAAGTGTGCATTTTTGAGCCTTTATTGTGAAAATTCAATGATTTTAGCTGGGATTTCTGTAGCTATTACATGTTCTGTTGTGAAGTTGGGTTGGTTGATGTGTGTGACACAAAGGTGCTCCTGAGCATCACTATAATCATCATCCACGTGTCTCTCAAAGTGCCAATCAGTACGACTGTAACGAAGAACTGTACAACATCTGTCACAGTTAATCTCCTATGAGTAAAGATATGCAGATCAGAAACGTATATGACTTGGTAGACTTATCCAGCTGCCTCTTCTAAAGAGCCACTTGACAGATGTGAAGGGTGACATGAATTCAGCCACCTCCAGACATTCAGGGAGAACAAACTTGGTTTTTAACTGGGATGCTGTGGGATTAAACGGACGGGTCAGTTCATTTTGTTCCAACAGCATCTCTAATTGTCCATGCCAATCAGAGGCTGAAATGGACAGAGAGTGTAGAAAATAGGATAGAGATGAATGTGCTGATTAATTCAACAAGGAAATCACATTAACTGGCAGATTAATTCAGTGCCCCTCATCACTTCATCGCTTATTGTGCTCTGGAAAAATGAAACACATCAGCAAAGCTGACAAATACCAATTACCGGAGGGAGAGGAGGTAAATAAAAAGTAGCCATTGTGTTAATGTCAGTCAGTCCACTTTTTTTTTAATACCGTACAGATTAGCATACAGGTTGGGATTAAAGTGTGTGCTTTCTTTTGCGGTTCAAGGTGTTTTCATAATAAAATTCAGCTTTTACCTTTTTTTTCCTGAAGATTTGATTGCCATTGAGCATTTAAAAAAAGAAAGTAGGTAGTGCCAAAAATCTAAATCTTACTTTGAAAGAAAAACACATTAGCCTGCGCTAGTCTTTCTGAGAAATGTTCATTATATCGTTCACAAATAAGGTGCTGACCAATTTATGAACAGTGACAATGGAGGTGTGCTTGAATAGCTTTCCCAGGCTGCTGATCATTTTCAAGTCAACACCAAACAAAGAAGTGCAGATTTAATTTTTGAAAATAGCAGTTTTTATATTTGTTCATTTTTTAAATGAGGTTGTGTGAAGCACGTATGAGCTGTCAGTATCTTACCTGCAGTAGGTAGCAGTCAGAACAGTTTTTTTAGTTTAGAAAATCTGGAATGAATTTTCATCTCACCTTCTGTTTTGAGAAAACAAAATACCTACTGTTACTTAAACAGTTGTTTTTACTGTTGTACTGGTTTTACAAACACCCAAATGTAAAACAACACAAACATTGTTTGGCAGAAAAAAATATTGACAAAGTGAACAACTCTGTCATGCAAAAGTACTGAGGTATTTTAAGTTTTGAGTTTTGTTTTATAATATGTCAAAAATAAGCTCCCAACTTTGAGTAGCAGTCGCCTAATTGAAACGTCCTTCCTGTTTGTCCAAACTGAAATTTCCCTGACAGCTGTCTACGGCAGATATGACACTAACTGCTCATAACTACTTCACAAACCGACATCAAAAGATGAAAAAAAAGAAAATGTAAGGAAAACTGGCTGCATAAATTACAAGATGCAAACATCAGCATCCTCCTTACATCACCCTTAACTCTCATTCGTGAAAAAAAGAAAATGCAGTCAATGCAAAAACATAAGCGTCTTTAGAGCCAATGCATAGACTGCTATTTTTTAGCTACTCATAAAACACAAGGATGCAGCAGAGGTAGAAAAGAAATGGCTCATACTCAAATACTTTAAAGTCATTTTTCTGGTCATAAAAATACACATTTTCTCCCTGTGATTTTGAACGTTGGGAGAAAACAAATGTGTTTAACAGGTCTGCTAATAAATGTGTTTAATAAGCTGCAGACAGAGAGCATCATGCAATTTTAATAATGCATTTTATTAAGGTCTATTATGCAAGACCCAGAAAACCTAGTATTCAGAGGGCAGAAAGAAACTCTGACAGCTGTGAGAGGTGCCAGTGAAAAAGAAACAAAAAAGATAGAAAAAAAACTGAATGCACCAAAAATAAATTTGAAGAGGTGGCACCCTAATTAGAGCGCTGCTCCAAATTTAGGAAAACTGGCTTCAAGGTTTCCACATTTTAATACATTTGATCTCATTTGCTAATTGTATCAAAGCTCAACAACTAAAACTGCATCTTTTTAAAAAATACAATCACACAAAAATGTTCATTAAAAATGATTGTACAAATTTACAAAAAAAAAGGTATTTAAAAAGTGTTTTCCCTGTTCAACTCTTTGGGTCATCTGCCTCCTACCTCCAGTATCATGCATTATTCTCTTTATTCTCACGTAGTTTTTGACAAACAATGAATAATTGTAATATCCACAATGTTGAATTGTTCTTTCACATTTAAAACAGGCTATTATAAAAAGCCTGAGTGCAGATTTGGAGCTTTTCTCTGTTTGTTGCCGCTGTCAGCGATGTGCTTATCGGTGCCTGCATGTTCGCCCTCTGCTGTTTGTGTTCTGTAACTGCTGTATGCCTTTATAGGATAACTCCAGTGAAGAAAGTGGAAAAATCAAGTGCAATGTCATGGACAACATGCTGAACTCAATAGAAAAACACAGTGTGTTGCTGTAACACAAAAAGAAGTCGCGTTTCAGAGATACATGTAAACATAGGATGTAATGCTGTTCTGTGAGCTTCTCTTAATCTTGTCACATCTCTTGTTGCATGGCCAGCAATCACCTACGTGATTTGAATGAATGGTAAGCTGTTTGTCGCAGTGATTGCAACGATGAAAACTGATTATGGCTATCATGCAATGCCTCATATTAAAAAAATTACACAAATAAATGTTGAGTTTTTCATAATGTTCGTACCTGGGATACTAAAGAGATGTTATATGAAGCATTATGATTGCAGTGCATATTTCTTTTCAAAAGGCTGCAGAAAACTTATGTTACATTTTGCTAAAAAAAATAACAAGCTGGAACAATAGCAGGAACTCAGTGCAGTAATTAGCATGTTGGCATAGTTTTGCTCCAGTTCGGTTCACTGCTTTGCATGACACAGTTTAATATTTTTCCCTAACCAACCACAATATTGAGTCAGTCTGTTGGCTGTGACGACACAAATACAGTCAGATGATGTTTCATACGAGGCTAAACCTTTTCCATTTCAACAATTACATCACCCAAGGAACAGTAAAACAGTAAAATGCCAGATTTTACCCTTTATCGATTGTCTTTATTGGTCAGGTTTGTGCTGCTTGTAATGAAGCAAGTTTTTTTCTCTATTGCATTGAATTTTTGGCATAAAAGGAATATTTTCAAAGCTGCTGCATCTTGTCATTTTGACCTGCAGCAGGTAATTGTGTCCTCCTTCATGTCATGACAGTGACTCTGAGTTTCAGTGGAGAAGTTCAGACATTGTCTGTAAATTTTTGTCCTTCCAGAGGACTTTCAAGGACTTGCTTATCTCCCAATGATGCAACGTTCTCTCTGTTTCCAGCTTTCCTCACAGCCCAGGGTTACCCCATTTGTCTTTTGGCCGCAGCATGGCAGTAGTTCAGCTGGAGAAGGACGGCCTGCGTGCAATTCTGACAACATTGTACGTGTTAAGCCCCGGTGCATCAAAGCCAGGGGACAAGCCCTGCTTATTAAATATGTAGAAGTTAAAAAGTTGGCCGTCTTGGGCTTCCAGTGACACAGAGGCTGTACCCACTCGCAAAACACAAGGGTACTCATTTTCAAATACAACTTTGAACACCCGATCGACCAGGTAGTTCAGCTTTATTGTCCTGTACTTCTCCGGGATCAACTCTTCAATCTGAGGACCAAACTGCTGCATGATCAGAACTCCATCTGTTCCTAGTTTGATCTCATAGAAAGTGATGTTGCTGTATGTGTAAAAGCCAATGTAAGACTCTGGATTTGGGGGAGCACTGAGGACCTTTTTGGCTCCCCTGAAAGCTTTTTCTATGGCTGGAACAATGAAGCTGTACGCCTTTGTGACCACATCTTGCTTCTGAGACCTGCTTCCTGCCATGAGGATCACCAGGCCCAGCTTCAGCCTCGGAACCAGGGAGAACGTTGCGGAGAAGCCATCCAGGTCGCCATCTTTTCTCAGCATCTCATAGCCCATGACGTCATTCACCTCCCACGGTGTCCCAGTACGGTTTGCAAAGTAGTCCTTATCACATCTAAAGAGCGGAGTCAGCATGATCTTCAGGGAATCTGGTTCCAGTAGCTTGCGGTGGTAAGTACCCAGCAGCATCATGGCGAGCTTGGCCATGTCTGCGGCAGTGGAGAACATCTGACCGGACGGCCGGTACCAGCCGAGGTCATAGAGGGGGGCGGGTTTTCCGTTCGAGTAAACCCCCACAGCCATCTGACTTTGCAACCCAGGAGTCAGGCCAAAACCAGTGTCTTCCATCCCCAAACGGTCTAGGATGTTTTCTGTGACCCATCGCTGGTACTCTACTCCCACCACTCGCTCTGCCATCACGTGAGCGAGCAAAGAAAAGGCAAGGTTGCTGTAGTGACACCTGGAAAAAAGAAAATATAGGTGATGGAATGAACTGTGGTCATCACAACTTCCTTAGGTAAATCGCTTGATTATTGGTATTAATTGAAGAAAATAGACAAAACATTGCAGTCCTGAATGTTTGTAATGAAAGAAAGGAGAACTCTGACACAAGTTTTATTCATGAAACACTGTGTTGCACAATAATAACAGTAATAAATCTTACTTGGTTCCTGGATCTGCAACAAGGACATCATCTTGTAATAGATTGATTGCAGATTGTGTTTTGCCTTTCCAGAGTAGATTTGTGGCTCGGAGTCTCCTGGGGAGCCCTGGGTCGGCCAACAGTAACAAAATTTAATTAAAAAGAATAAAAAAACATAGTTTGCAGTATCTCTTCTTTTTGCTGAAATTTATAAAGCTATTATGAAGTGTCTGTTCCATTTTCATTTCAGCGCAGTGTTCATTTCACCTGTCTCGAAACGGCGCTTCAGAGGTTTGTGACCAATTCATGGGTCTCTGAACATAATTTTTGTGCTCAACCCTGATACTGCAGAGACAAACTGAGGTGATACTTTATTATCTACAGTAATACTGTCAATAATTCAGGTTTTTTTTTATTGTTTCTTACTTTATTATCAAAAACTGTCAATACTTCAGGTTTTTTATTGTTTCTTACATTTTTTTCTATTTTAAATAAATTAAATCAAGCAAACTGGTAAAAGGTGGAAAAAAGTGTTGATACAGTTCTTTGTAGATTAATGTATTGAGTCAGCTGTTGTTTAGGCGTATATAGACCTGTTATTAGAATCAATTGTCATATTATTTAATTTTTTTAAAATAAATTTGACAGAGGTTGCAGTAGTTTGATGGTCGTTGCAACAGTCTTGTAATTCTGAGGCTGCAAGATTGAGCCAAGGTTGCATAAGAAAAGGCATTTAATGTTAAACAATTGCTAAAACATTTACTTATTGTGGTGACCTTGCAGTAGGAGCAGCAATACAAGCTATAAAACCAACAAATACATAGAAGCTCTGAAGGACAAAACATACAGGGTTCTAATGAAAACTTTGGGCACACTTCTGCTTTCTGTTTTCTTGGACTTGTTTTCTGTAGTTTAGCATTTTATTTTCAAAAAGCTTTTTCTTTTTAATCTGCTGAATCCACATACCTGAGAGCTGGCTTGCCATCCTGCGCAGAGTGACTGAAGAGGAGCGGATTTGGACTTCCCCACTGTCCAGAAATATCAGGCCATCAGTCACATACTTCAGCTGCGAGTCTCGCGTCTTTCCCAGAGGATTTTTGATTGTGAAGTTATCAACATATTTTTCTAGGGGGTCATCTAAGGAGGCGATCTTTCCATCCTCCCACAGTTTGTAGAGCATCAGCGTAGGGAAAATCTTGGACAGGCTGGCAATCCTAAAGGCAGATAAGAGCACACTGTGACTGGATTTTATTCTACTGGAAAAAAAAAGTCATTTTCTTTAAATCAAAGCAGATTTAATCACTCTTTTTGTTTACTTTCTTCACTTCCTGCTGTTTTTTTAAAATTCAGTTGTTTGGTTGCAAAGCCAAATAAATTCATGAACTAAACTTATCTGACAACAAAAAAACTGCAGTTGGTGTTGACAAACCATGCATACAACTCGTTGCACATTTAGATTTCATGGTGTTGGAGCTGATCAAAAACTTTTAAAGGATTCTTTTGATCTTGCGAGGAAATGATTTTCTTTATTGATGAGTGTTGGCGTATGTTTTACTCAGTGTAGTTTAACATTTCTAAAAGACTCATACTTTAATCAAAAGATGAAAGAGTTGTTTTATTTCCCACTATAATAAAATGTGTTAATTTTTTCTTGGATTAGAGAGGAAATGAGAAAAGTGGTGACTTTGATTATGAAACTAAGTTCTGATTAAAAACCCCCTTTTGACGGCATGCTTTATGCAGATATATTTGCGACAAAAATACCTTAATTTCATTTTACTCTATTCTGCTTATATTTGTGTCCCTATAGTAAAAATGTTGCTGTCTCAACATTTACTTAGCAATGAATAAAAAAACTAAATAGTAAAACTGAAACTGATTTATCTTTTTCTGAATTTACCATGATAGTAGATAAATTGTGCATTTTAACCTGATAAATTATCAGCTTACTTCATGAACCGTACTGTTTTCTTTAGATTTGGCAACTAGACCACCAGACCTGAAACCAGGGGCAATAAGATTTGAATCGTTTTCTTTTTCTGATTACCCTTGAGTACAATAATGAAGCCCATAGGAACTAAAGAACACCATGTTTGTACTATTCAATGTTCTGTTGAAAACCAAGCCATCGTGTGGAAGTGACACCTGAGGCAGCTTGAGCATTTGCTTTATGATTACTATTTTTTGTTATTATCATTACAAAGAAACATTTCAGTTCCCAAGATGAGTGAGCATCTGTGAACAGCAGGAAGAATGAATCCACGCAGAATGAGCCTTTAACCAAAATGTTAATAAACAATGAGTTTACTCTGATGTGTGAGGCTTTAAATGTGTGGAGGTGGGAGAGGAGGTCAACACACTGCACCTGACAAACTCACATTTTAATTTAATCAAGAGGTATTTTTTTATTCTTGGCAAAGCAAATATTGTATTTACATGTAACATAATAATATTTTTTTATTACTATTTCTCACAACACGCTGCAGTAAAGCTTCCAACAATGAGTTTGCAGGTGAAACACTGGCTGTCCACAAAACCAATCTGTTAGCTCTGACTCTGAAATATGGAAAATCTTTTGAGTGTGAACATCAGCCGTGTCAGGATCAGTGAATGAATCGGAGCACTTACGCTTATCCTGAAGCTTCTCCGTAAATCTTTCAGTTCCTTCAGTTGAATGTCAAGTTTTCTAAGACTCAAATTTGTCTTATTTGCAGCTGAAAACAAATGGGATGAGTTTTTTTTTCTGTGAATTGATCCATACTATGTAATGATGGGCAGTGAAAAAAGGTCAATGTTCTCATTAATGTGTCCTACAGTTTAATGAGGAAATTAATAAAATTAGGGATTGATTTTTTGTGGGTGTAGTCGATATTTACGGAAAAGTTAGTCATTGCAAAGTCACAAAGAGCGGGTAAACCAACAATATTTTTCTCTCATATTGATGGCTATTCATCATTTAATTTCAAAATTTTTAAGTAAAAAATATGACTGGATGTCCACAACCATGTGCGTTTGTTTATCTACAGAAACATTTCGTCTTGTTGGGTTTCATAAGATTGCATCTGTAATTTAAAAAAAGGTTATTATAAATCTAATCAGTAGAATTTAGGAAATAAGACTTAATTTGTCAAATAAAACATAACATTTTAAACAAAAAGAAGAATGATCCAAGTTTAGTGATTTTAAGTCAACATAACTTCAGCTGCATCATATGTCAAAACAATTTTTCAACATTGCACCTCCTGGACTCTGAAATAGGGTTTTATACTTTAACAAGATATTTGCCATGGATGTTTATATTTTGTGAGCCTGTAAACCTGAAAATAGCGTTGAGTTCAAATAATGCTCACATTTAAAGGGTGGATAAAAAGACTGCATTCTATCCAACAGCCGGTGGCCAAAGTGGTTACTGTGTTAGAAAATCAGCACAAAATGACTCGCATCTAAGGTGATGTTATTTTCACATAACACCAACTCAGCCATCACTGCATAACAGTGTTAATCTCCTTCGGTGGGACAGCACAGTCACAAAACTGCTCATAAATTAACCTTTTTATTTCTACTGAGTCTCAACATCCCAGTTCTATCATTTCAACAAATCAGAGTTGGTTTTGTGGCAGAAAGGGAGCTTTTACAATATAAAACATAGTTTGTAAAAATACTACAGAGGGATTTTAACGTACATGCTGAATTGTGGTTAGGGGCTAGCTGTGTGCAGCTCACAGTGCTGCTTATTTAATGTTTATTGATCACACTGGAGGTAGAACACAAGAGGTTAATGCTCATTCAGAAACGTTCATCCTGCTCTAACAAGTGTAATGTTCAAACTAAACAAGTTGTTTAATTTTAGATTATTTTTTATTGTATTTTGCTGCTGCACTACATACAGCACATTCAGTATATCTGCTCACCTGTAGATTGTGTACTCATTAGGCGATCCTGAGAAAGGGTCGCTGGCATTCCTTTTTCCAAAGTTGCCGGTCCACAAAACCGTGTCATTCAGGATGACAATGGCAGACAGAGCAGGAAGGCTGACAGGGTTGATGCTCTGCCGAAGCAAAACGTCCACCTGCAGGAGACCAAGAAAGCTTCAAAATGATTTCAGCAAATGAACATTAGGAGTAAATGTTTAGGAAAATCACTTTCCAATTTTTTTCTGGTTTTATTCTTTTTTTTGCATGACTTGCTGGTGGAGACATGAATATTTAAAATGACCCATATTCTACCAAAAAAGCTTTAACTGCTTGTTTATATATATAT